ATTTTGAGATATTATCACAATTTTCGTTTTTTTAAATGGAAACAACCACTGATTATTCGCTTATTAAATTCGTTATTTTTTTCTGATTACAAAAATATAGGGTTTGACAGGTCTATTTCTTATTGTTTTAGAATAAAGCTAAAAATTAACTTTTCTTTTAGTGTCTTCCAAGAAATTAAATTTACAGTTTCCTGTAAATTACGGTACTATAATTAAAAATTAAAAAAACATATTTCTGATATTTGAAACAAATATATTTGTTGAACTATTTAATTTATATATGTAATTATACAAAAGTTGGAATAGATTGCATAATTTCACATTTTTATATTAATATTTAATATTATTATTAAATGACTTAATAAATTATTGATAGATGGCGCTCATATATATTTTTTTAATTCAACCTAAACATAGCAACATTTGTTTGTATTCAAAAATTTTCTGAAGTGTCAAATAAAAAATCCTGTTTTTTAAGATGGATTACGAAAATTCGAAAAGTTTAACATGTTGGAATGTTATATATTAGAAAATAAAGTAAATTTTATATAAATTTTCAGTAGACAGTTACAGGAAACTGTAAATTTAATTTTTTTAACGACACTAAAAAAAAGTTTATTTTTAGCTTTATTCTAAAACAATAAGAAATAGACGTATCTAACCCCATATTTTTCTAACCAAAAAAAAAATAACGAATTTAATAAGCGAATAATCAGTGGTTGTTTCCATTTAAAAAAATGAAAATGTAATATCTCAAAATCTAAAACCAAAAAATTTTTTTTGGCTACGTCATCAAATTCTCTGTAAAAGTGTCCATATAATGTCTTAGTTATAATACTCCACCTATAATAATAACCAAGATAATTGCACTTGCTGATTTTATGATATTTTCAATTTTGGCCTCTAGGGGAAAAACAAAAGACGATAGCGCTTTGAGGTTTTTGGCATTAGCAGTTTCTCGAAAAACAAGATCATGACATGTAAGCTACTTTTTTTCTCAACTCTTATAGTTTCCAGCCTGTACTTAATATTATATTCTGTTTATTTTTATCAGGTTTTTTTGTTCTTCCTTTTATTATTTGATTAAAAAGTAGCTAAGCTTTATAAACATCCTGTATAGCGTATCTAATATCTTTGAATACTATATCATCTACCTACTGGCTTTGACTATTGTCTGAAGGCAAAATCAGAAAAAATGTCGCTTTTACATCGATTTTAAAAAGATCCTGTAATGGGCATATTTTGGAAGAACAATTGAATATCTCAGGAACTATGAACGATGTGAATTAGTAACATATACGGTTGTATAAACAAATTTAGTTGTATACATTATATGATAAAATAAATAGGGTGTTCTATTTAAATAAATTGACGTACTAACCGTTACGCTTAAATGGAACAGCCTGTATAAGTGAAAATGATTTTACGTAGAAAGTGATGAGTGAAACAACTTTTGTATAAAATATTTTTTTGTTTTTTAAACGGTTTAGTAACTATCGATCGCCAGGATACTAATAACTCATCCTGTATATTATATACAGGATGTGTCAAATGTCTGGAATATAGCCAATAACTTGACCATTTGTGCTTTTAAAGAAAAATGTTTCAAATAAAAGTTTCTTTATTAATTGTGGCTCATTTTTTGGCGAAATTTGCTTGTTTTCGTTGCTATGGCAATCAACATTGTTATTTTAAATGGGATGCAGATGTCTTTTTTGCATATTTTGATAGAAGATAAATCGCTCTACGCGATGAACATATCAAATCATATGGTTGTATAAGAAAAAAATCGAGAAAAAATGCGTTCTCTGAAAATATTAAATCAGCAAATTACAATCAAAGTAGGCGTCTAAATAGCGCCGTTGACAGCTTTAAATGTCAAAAAATTGACAGTTTAAACAAAGTATGCAAAAATACATATGCATCCCATTTAAAATAACAATATTGATTGCCATAGCAACGAAACAAAAAACAATACAAACAAACAAATACAAGTATTTGAAACATTTTTTTTTTAAACCACAAATGGCGAAGTTATTGGCTATATTCCAGACATTTGACACACCCTGTATACAGGTGTCCCGTTAAGGGAACGGAGCGGCTGTATCTCGACAACGGTAAAGCTTAGAGGTTTGGAAAAAAAATCCATATAGGCAAAGTGACCAAGAGAAATAGCTGGGAATTATTTTGAAGTTCGTAATTCGACCGCTAGGGGGCGTAACTGCCATTGAGAAACATAAAACTCTCACTATCTCAAAAAGTTAGACGATGAGCTATAATTTTGACAACATCATTTAATAGCTTGGATAATACCGCATCGCTTTTGTTTTGCGATATTTCTCATATCTGTCATAATAACGGAGCGATTTGAATATTTTCGGTGTTGTTTGAAACAACATTTTATGCTCTTTTTAAAGATATTTTCAGTAAGATCGTTTGCTTTAAAACAACGTCAATGGGATGCACATCGTCTAACTTTATGAGATAGCGGGAATTTTATGTTTTTCTATGGCAGTTACGCCCCCAAGCGGTCGAATTACGAACTTCAAAATAATTTCCAGCTATTTTTCTTGCTCACTTTGCTTATAAGGATTTTTTTCCCAAACCTAGAGGCCTTACCGTTGTCGAGATACAGTCGCTCCGTACCTTTAACGGGACATCCTGTATATAGTGTTAGTTTTAGTTATAATTGTTATTCAGTGCTAGATTATTGTATATTTTTATTGAATTACAAGTAAAGCTAATACCAGACCTAGCGACAGTGCTTAGTAGTGCTAGCACTACTAACTAATTGTTATTGATCTAAAACTAGAACTAGACCTAGAACTAGAATCATTCGGGTTTAGCTGTCTTTAAAGACGTGCGGCTAAGCCCGAACGTTTCTAGTTTAGTGTTAGTTCTAGTGACAGTTCTAAGCAGCGTTAGTTGGCACTATACAGCCTTAGGTCGTGTATTGTTATGGAACTAAAACTAGAACTAACACTAGACCTAGAACTAGAAATATCTGGGTTCAGCACGGCTAAACCCGGAACTTTTTAGTTCTAGGTCTAGTATTAGTTCTAGTTTTATTATTATTCAGTGCTAGATTGTTGTATATTTTTATTGCAATAAAAGTAGAACTAACAGTAGACCCAGAACTAGAATCATTCGGATTTAGCCGTCTTTAAAGACGTGCGGCTAAACCCGAATGTTTCTAGTTCTGGGTCTAGTGTTGGTTCTAGTGACAGTGCTAAGTAGTACTAGTTAGCACTACATAGTGCTACGTTGTGTATATTTTTATTGAATTAAAAGTAGAACTAATACTAGACCTAGCGACAGTGCTTAGTAGTGGTAGTTAGCACTACTAACTAATTGTTATTGATCTAAAACTAGAACTAGACCTAGAACTAGAATCATTCGGGTTTAGCCGTCTTTAAAGACATGCGGCTAAGCCCGAATGTTTCTAGTTTTAGGTCTAGTGTTAATTCTAGTGACAGTTCTAAGCAGCGCTCGTTGGCACTAGACAGCCTTAGGTCGTGTATTGTTATGGAACTAAAACTAGAATTAACACTAGACCTAGAACTAGAAATATCTGGGTTCAGCACGGCTAAACCCGGAACTTTTTAGTTCTAGGTCTAGTATTAGTTCTAGTTTTATTATTATTCAGTGCTAGATTGTTGTATATTTTTATTGCAATAAAAGTAGAACTAACAGTAGACCCAGAACTAGAATCATTCGGATTTAGCCGTCTTTAAAGACGTGCGGCTAAACCCGAATGTTTCTAGTTCTGGGTCTAGTGTTGGTTCTAGTGACAGTGCTAAGTAGTACTAGTTAGCACTACATAGTGCTACGTTGTGTATATTTTTATTGAATTAAAAGTAGAACTAATACTAGACCTAGCGACAGTGCTTAGTAGTGGTAGTTAGCACTACTAACTAATTGTTATTGATCTAAAACTAGAACTAGACCTAGAACTAGAATCATTCGGGTTTAGCCGTCTTTAAAGACATGCGGCTAAGCCCGAATGTTTCTAGTTTTAGGTCTAGTGTTAATTCTAGTGACAGTTCTAAGCAGCGCTCGTTGGCACTAGACAGCCTTAGGTCGTGTATTGTTATGGAACTAAAACTAGAATTAACACAAGACCTAGAACTAGAAATATCTGGGTTCAGCACGGCTAAACCCGGAACTTTTTAGTTCTAGGTCTAGTATTAGTTCTAGTTTTATTATTATTCAGTGTTGGATTGTTGTATATTTTTATTGCAATAAAAGTAGAACTAACAGTAGACCTAGAACTAGAATCATTCGGATTTAGCCGTCTTTAAAGACGTGCGGCTAAACCCGTATGTTTCTAGTTCTTGGTCTAGTGTTAGTTCTAGTGACATTGCTAAGTAGTACCAGTTAGCACTATATAGTGCTAGGTTGTGTACGTTTTTATTGAATTAAAAGTAGAACTAATACTATACCTAGCGACAGTGCTTAATAGTGCTAGTTAGCACTACTAACTAATTGTTATTGATCTAAAACTAGAACTAGACCTAGAACTAGAATCGTTCGGGTTTAGCCGTCTTTAAAGACGTGCGGCTAAGCCCGAACGTTTCTAGTTCTAGGTCTAGTGTTAGTTCTAGTGACAGATCTAAGTAGCGCTAGTTCGCACTAGATAGCCTTAGGTTGTGTATTGTTATTGAACTAAAACTAGAACTAACACTAGACTTAGAATTAGAAGTATGCGAAACTTTCTAGTTCTAGGTCTAGTGTTAGTTCTAGTTTTATTGTTATTCAGTGCTAGATAGTTGTATATTTTTATTGCAATAAAAGTAGAACTAACAGTAGACCTAGAACTAGAATTATTCGGGTTTAGCCGTCTTTAAAGACTTGCGGCTAAACCCGAATGTTTCTAGTTCTGGGTCTAGTGTTAGTTCTAGTGACAATGCTAAGTAGTACTAGTTAGCACTACATAGTGCTAGGTTGTGTTTATTTTTATTGAATTGAAAGTAGAACTAATACTAGACCTAGCGACAGTGCTTAGTAGTGCTAGCACTACGAACTAATTGTTGTTGATCTAAAACTCAAACTTGAACTAGAATCATTCGGGTTTAGCCGTCTTTAAAGACGTGCGGCTAAATCCAAATGTTTCTAGTGCTAGGTCTAGTGTTAGTTCTAGTGTCAGTGCTAAGTATTGTGCTAAAATCAATAGGGTTTAACCACATGTCTTTAAAGACGTCTAAACCCGAATGTGTCTATTTCTAGGTCTAGTGCTAGTGCTACTTTTATTGTTATTCAGTGCTAGATTGTTGTATATTTTTATTAAACTAAAAGTAGAACTAACTAATAAAGAACGCAACGGTGTAGATAGCTGTTTGAATTAATGTGTATTAAAATTATTCATTCAAACAGTATATATGTTATAACGTACACTCCTTTCTCCGTATTAATCCGTTATATCGAGGTTTTACTATAATCTTAACCCCTTAATAAAATATTAAGAGATTAATTAAATAAACACAACTATTTACACAGTTATATACACGCATTCACACACGTTTCGTTTCAACTTAAATTTTCTTAAAGAGAATTTGAATTCAACTTAGTCATTTAACCTTAACACACTAAGTTTGAACTTCTGAATCGCTTTATTTGGTTCTATAAAATCGCGTTGAATCGTTTTCGTAACAAATACTTAAAAATACGTGAATAAAGAAAAGAGGACTATCACACATGGCATGAAAACACACGTTTTAATTAAATTATTAAGCGCTATCTATGGCTGAACTTCGCATATGAAGTACGTTTCGAACGAACACGGAGAGTCGTTCCATTTCAATCCTTTTCCGTCGCGATTCCACAACTCCAAACAGTTCTCTTCTTCGCCGTTTTCGTAAACGAAATTGTTCGGTTCGCCCGCGTTCCAATTCGTGAAGGTGATCGGTCTTCCGGTTGACATCCAAAAAAATGAACCTTCGTTGGCCAAATCGGTACCCGACGTCCAAAAATGCTCGTTTCCATATCCTAAAATTTTATATTTAATAAAAAAATCGACTTAAATAATTAATTAATTAATTACCGAAATCTTTAATATATTTCTCCAACTTATCGTTTTCTTCTTGAGACGTTATACTAGCTAAATGCATTCCGTGAAACCGGCAATATTGAGTTGCCCTAAAATAATTCGCCTACAACAAAATTAAAAAAAAAAATTATTACTTAATTACCTTCAATTAGATTGAGTTACATTGAATTACATTGACATTTGAATAAACTCATTACATGATTTAAACGGCAACGCAAAGCGCATCATAATCATCAACGGGGCCATTCATACCTACTACATGAGAACCGTGGTGATTTACTTGTGTTTATTTTGCAATCGAAATACATTCCATAAAAATGCACTACGGGGATCGGTAAAATTACGTTGTTAATGAACGTTTTACGCAATAATTGGTAGACGTAATTATTATTAGAAGGTTGTTTCGCCTAGTAATTAATTAATTTCGCATAGATAACCATCTGTACAAAAATATCGGACAATGAAGGTGTTTTTTGCGATGATTCTTAATTTTTATAAACAACTCTTCCAAGATGTTTTAAAATTTCATAATTTTTGACATTATTAGGTTATTATATTCCCTATTATTATTATTCATATAATACATATTCCCCTTATTTATTATAGTCCCAATATTTCTAGTTCTAGTGACAGTTCTAAGTAGAGCTAGTTGGCACTAGATAACACTAGGTTGTGTATTGTTATTGAACTAACACTATACCTAGAACTAGAATAATAAGAAAGAAGAAACTTTAAGCTTTAATTTGTAATAAATATCATTTCTTCATTTTCATCAACAACTGTTCCACGAATTTTTGAATTTCCATCTTTTTTAACATGGTGAAAGTATGTGAGCTTAAACTGAACCTTTTTTATCCTCATTATTTTTATAATATAACCCCATGATTATTATATATCATTTGAAAGAGTACACTTTAAGCTTTAACTTAGGATAAATTTCATTCCTTAAGTTTCATAAAGAACGCTTCCAGGATTTTTTTAATTTTTATAAATTTTAATATTTTTAAGTTAAGCGAAAATGCCACTTTTACTTCAATACTTTTTTTCTCCATATTTTCCTAATACAACCCAATAATTATAATACATCATTTGAAAGAAGAAACTTTGAGCTTTAATTTAAAATAAATCTTATTTCTTAATTGTTATAAACAACGCTTCCAGCATTTTTGGAATTTTTATAAATTTTGACATTTTTAGGTTAAACGAAAATGCCACTATTACTTCAACACTTTTTTTCTCCATACTTTCCTTATACAATCCAATGACTATAATACATCATTTGAAAGAAGAAACTTTAAGCTTTAATTTAAAATAAATCTCATTTCTTAATTGTTATAAACAACGCTTCCAGGATCTTTTTAATTTTTATAAATTTTAACATTTTGTAGTTAAGCGAAAATGCCACTTTTACTTCAACATTTTTTTTTCTCCATATTTTCCTAATACAACCTAATAATTACAATACATCATTTGACAGATTAAACTTTCAGCTTTAATTTAAAATAAATCTTATTTCTTAATTGTTATAAACAACGCTTCCAGGATTTTTTACATTTTTATAAATTTTGACATTTTTAGATTAAACGAAAATGCCACTTTTACTTCAACACTTTTTTTCTCCATATTTTCCTAATACAACCGAAAAATTATAATACATCATTTGAAAGAAGAAACTTTAAGCTTTAATTTAAAATAAATCTCATTTCTTAATTGTTATAAACAACGCTTCTAGGATTTTTTTAATTTCCCACATTTTTAGGTTAAGCGAAAATGCATCTTTTACTTTAACATTCTTTTTCTCGATATTTTCCTGATACAACATAATGATTATAATACATAATTGGAAAGAAGAAACTTTGAGCTTTAATTTAAAATAACTTTCATTTCTTAATTGTTATAAACAACGCTTCCAGGATTTTTTTAATTTTTATAAATTTTGACATTTTTAGGTTAAACGAAAATGCCACTTTTACTTCAACACTTTTTTTCTCCATACTTTCCTTATACAACCCAATGACTATAATACATCATTTGAAAGAAGAAACTTTAAGCTTTAATTTAAAATAAATCTCATTTCTTAATTGTTATAAACAACGCTTCCAGGATCTTTTTAATTTTTATAAATTTTAACATTTTTTAGTTAAGCGAAAATGCCACTTTTACTTCAACATTTTTTTTCTCCATATTTTCCTAATACAACCTAATAATTACAATACATCAGTTGACAGATTAAACTTTGAGCTTTAATTTAAAATAACTCTCATTTCTTAATTATTATAAACAACGCTTCCAGGATATTTTTAATTTTTATAAATTTTGACATTTTTAGGTTAAACGAAAATGCCACTTTTACTTCAACACTTTTTTTCTTCATACTTTCCTTATACAACCCAATGACTATAATACATCATTTGAAAGAAGAAACTTTAAGCTTTAATTTAAAATAAATCTCATTTCTTAATTGTTATAAACAACGCTTCCAGGATCTTTTTAATTTTTATAAATTTTAACATTTTTTAGTTAAGCGAAAATGCCACTTTTATTTCAACATTTTTTTTCTCCATATTTTCCTAATACAACCTAATAATTACAATACATCATTTGACAGATTAAACTTTGAGCTTTAATTTAAAATAACTCTCATTTCTTAATTGTTATAAACAACGCTTCCAGGATTTTTTTAATTTTTATAAATTTTGACATTTTTAGGTTAAACGAAAATGCCACTTTTACTTCAACACGTGTTTTCTCGATATTTTCCTGATACAACATAATGATTATAATACATCATTTGAAAGAAGAAACTTTGAGCTTTAATTTAAAATAAATCTCATTTCTTAATTGTTATAAACAACGCTTCCAGGACGTTTTTAATTTTTATAAATTTTATCATTTTTTAGTTAAGCGAAAATGCCACTTTTACTTCAACATTTTTTTTCTCCATATTTTCCTAATACAATCTAATAATTACAATACATCATTTGACAGATTAAACTTTGAGCTTTAATTTAAAATAACTCTCATTTCTTAATTGTTATAAACAACTCTTCCAAGATTTTTTTAATTTTTATAAATTTTGACATTTTTAGGTTAAACGAAAATGCCACTTTTACTTCAACACATGTTTTCTCAATATTTTCCTGATACAACATGATGATTATAATACATCATTTTAAAGAAGAAACTTTGAGCTTTAATTTAAAATAAATCTCATTTCCAAATTATTATAAACAACGCTTCCAGGATTTTTTTAATTTCTTCCATTTTTAGGTTAAGCGCAAATGCATCTTTTACTTCAATATTCTTTTTTTTCATATTTTCCTAATACAACCCAATAATTATAATACATCATTTGAAAGAAGAAACTTTAAGCTTTAATTTAAAATAAATCTCATTCCTTAATTTTCATAAACAACACTTCCAGGATTTTTTAATTTTTGAAATTTTTTAGGTTAAGCGAAAATGCCACTTTTACTTCAACACTTTTTTCTCCATATTTTCCTAATACAACCTAATGATTACATTACATCACTTGAAAGAAGAAACTTTAAGCTTTAATTTAAAATAAATCTCATTCCTTAATTTTCATAAACAACACTTCCAGGATTTTTTAATTTTTAACATCTTTTAGGTTAAGCGAAAATGCATCTTTTACTTCTATATTTTTTTTTTCCATATTTTTCTAATACAACCCAATAATTATAATACATCATTTGAAAGAAGAAACTTTGAGCTTTAATTTAAAATAAATCTCATTCCTTAATTTTCATAAACAACACTTCCAGGATTTTTTAAACTTCCATAATATTTGACATTTTTAGGTTAAACGAAAATGCTACTTTTACTTCTATATCTTTTTTCTCCATATTATCCTAATACAACCTAATGATTATAATACATCATTTGAAAGAAGAAACTTTAAGCTTTAATTTTAAATAAATCTGATTCCTTAATTTTCATAAACAACACTTCCAGAATTTTTTAATTTTTAACATTTTTTAGGTTAAGCGAAAATGCATCTTTTACTTCAACATTTTTTTTCTCCGTATTTTTCTAATACAACCCAATAATTATAATACACCATTTGAAAGAAGAAACTTTGAGCTTTAATTTAAAATAACTCTCATTTCTTAATTGTTATAAACAACGCTTCTAGGATTTTTTTAATTTCCCACATTTTTAGGTTAAGCGAAAATGCATCTTTTACTTCAACATTCTTTTTCTCGATATTTTCCTGATACAACATAATGATTATAATACATAATTGGAAAGAAGAAACTTTGAGCTTTAATTTAAAATAACTTTCATTTCTTAATTGTTATAAACAACGCTTCCAGGATTTTTTTAATTTTTATAAATTTTGACATTTTTAGGTTAAACGAAAATGCCACTTTTACTTCAACACTTTTTTTCTCCATACTTTCCTTATACAACCCAATGACTATAATACATCATTTGAAAGAAGAAACTTTAAGCTTTAATTTAAAATAAATCTCATTTCTTAATTGTTATAAACAACGCTTCCAGGATATTTTTAATTTTTATAAATTTTGACATTTTTAGGTTAAACGAAAGTGCCACTTTTACTTCAACACTTTTTTTCTTCATACTTTCCTTATACAACCCAATGACTATAATACATCATTTGAAAGAAGAAACTTTAAGCTTTAATTTAAAATAAATCTCATTTCTTAATTGTTATAAACAACGCTTCCAGGATATTTTTAATTTTTATAAATTTTGACATTTTTAGGTTAAACGAAAGTGCCACTTTTACTTCAACACTTTTTTTCTTCATACTTTCCTTATACAACCCAATGACTATAATACATCATTTGAAAGAAGAAACTTTAAGCTTTAATTTAAAATAAATCTCATTTCTTAATTGTTATAAACAACGCTTCCAGGATATTTTTAATTTTTACAAATTCTGACATTTTTCAGTTAAGCGAAAATGCCACTTTTACTTTAACACTTTTCTTCTCCATATTTTCCTAATACAACCCAATGATTATAATACATCATTTGAAAGAAGAAACTTTAAGCTTTAATTTAAAATAAATCTCGTTCCTTAATTTTCATAAACAACACTTCCAGGACTTT